TTGAGTGTTTGAATTGACATAAAACTAATGTGTCAACAGAGTGGCTCAAAATTATTTATGAAATGACAAGAATTGAGGCCAGAGGCATGCACCTTGTGTTTTGGTTATCAGCCCCACTGGTATCACAGTCAGGCTGTTTCCCATGAGCATGACATTGAGTCGGTTCCTAGGTTTTAACTTTTAACACTGGTTTGGCTTTCGGAACCTGAGGAAAAATAAGTCTGGTTCACAGCTGTGGTGTAAGAAATCTTAAATCATTTTCTTGGTCACTTCAGTAAAAGTTCTTAAGAATCACCTTGGCTTCTCTCTCTATGTATTGGTCTTTTGGAAATTCACTTATTGAAGTGTCATTTGCGGGTTTGAGTGTTTTTTTTTTCAATTTATTTATAATTTGCAAACCAACTGTTCATGAGTTTGGGTTTTGTGAAGATGGTGGTCTTCTACAATTTACATTTCAGCTGAAGAATCAACAAATAAGAAATATGTGTAATATGATCGAATTTAACACCATTTGAACAGTAAAAAGTGCAGATCAGGAAAAAAAAAGAATAATTAAAAGTGTATTGGTGCAAATTTTCTTTATTGTGTTTATCATCAGTCATCTATAATGTTCTTGTGCCTTCTCATGATCCATATATGCCGAGACTAGATATTTTTTCATAATTAGTTAAGTCGGTGTTCATATTGGCTACATGTTTCTGTTTGGATATTTTGGACCATTGCTAAATCGCAGGCTGTGTTGTTTTTGATTGGAACGTTTGCAGAGCATTCGTCACTGACAAGTCTGAAAAATATTTCTTCTTAGACCCTAAAAAGTGTTTGTTTTGCCATGACTGGAGCTGAAATGCTGAATAGCAATAATAGCTAAATATGTTCCTACATGTACATAGTTTTGCTTTTCAATTTGCATTTACAATTTAATGTTCTGGGTTCTAATTAGCTAGAGAAAGTACAACTTCACTGCTTGAGGACACCCAAAAGACTCTCATACGCACTCACTTTAGAATTCACTTATCTCAGGGCCACAAGAAATGGATTACTGGTATATCATGGGAACCAGTACATCTCCAGGCTCCATGTCGTCGCTTCGTGAGTTCAAGTAAAGATGGTGATGCGCGTATATGGGACATCTCATTAAGGAAATGTGTTATTTCTCTTACTGGCCACACACTTGCAGTTACTTGTGTGAAATGGGGTGGAGATGGAGTAATATATACAGGGTATGCATTCTTTTCAATTGCCAGAAGTTTTAATGACCATCATTCTTGTAAATCCTTGTTCTTATTTGCTTTCTAATTGATAAGTACTTACTCTTTCCCTCTGACCCACCAAAAAATTTTACTTGACGAACTGACTTGCTAAATTGGGCTATTTACATGTCAGTATCAGATTCACAAAAGAATATATTGTTCACAACTAAAATTTCCTTCTTTCAAACATAATCTATCACATTTCTTTGCTCATTTGATCAATTGTTTCTGATTTTAGTATATAGACAAAAAGAAAATCCTATGGCTACGCATCTCTACCATAAACCATAAAAAGTACTACCATTGGCTTATTATGACCTAAAAAATTATGGCCGCATATCTTTCTTTTCCGTGAAATATCCACGGTGAATTACTGTAGTGGACAAACTGCAGTGTTTTGATCAGTCAATTGTTGGTTCCGTTGAAAATCTAGTTGGCTTGCCTTCACAGAATTGTCCCCTGGTGGACTTCCGAATAAAATTCCTTGGTTTTATGTTTTGGAAATTTTTTATTTTAGTATCTTTGACCTGATATTCAATGGATTCCTTGGAAGTTAACTAATATTTGGTGGCTTTACTATCAACGCATATATGGTATGCTCTAATTGGATGATGACATCTTCCGTTCACATGCTGCAGATCTCAGGATTGTACAATCAAAGTGTGGGAAACTTCGCAGGGGAAGCTAATTCGTGAATTGAAGGTAAAAGAATACATCTTCCGGTAATTTGGTGTTATTGAGTTACCTTTCTTGCTTGCATAGAATTGCTAGATGCTGCCGTGTGTGGTCCATGGTCAGTATGACCAGTAGGTTTGTAATGTGGGCTACCCTTTAAGAAGTGGACCAGCTTGGGTTAAGCCCTATTTAACTTGCCTGTTTTGAGTGGAAACCAAGTTTTTATTGATTTGACAAAGGGAATACCATACTTTCAGTTGGGCTTTCCGGAATGTGCTTAACAAAAAATTGTGAACCATAGAGAATGCATGTAGTTATCAGGGTGGCAAAGTCTTTTTAAAGTTTTTCAAAATGCATATCTTGTGAATTTTAGATGCCCGTCTTGATTAATCTTGTCTTTTAGTAACATTGTCCTTTTGTGGCGTTTGCTTTAGAGACTCGCATTTAATGGTCAAGCCCTCTTACTCTGACGATGTTATTGATTTTAAACTAAGTGCTTTTGAGTTGTCTTCTGGTCATTAATGTTTTAGATGACTCTTTTTTTTGTGGGTGTAATGTTTTATCCATTCCCGAAATTGAATACCTAATTTCACTTTTAGCTCCTTTATTATAATTGCCTAAAGTCTACACCCCCAAATAACATGCAAAGTTGTGCTTGGTAATTGTGAGAAGTTAAAACTTTTCAAGGCTAATCATTACTAAATGATTTAGTTCTTTTTATAAGAACTTGATTAGCATCGATCATTTCTGCCGATGCCCTTGGTAAGTTCACTGCATTCCCTTGGCATCTAATACTGGTTGAAAATTCTGTGAAAATATTATTCATGCTTTTAGGGGCCTAATGTTGGACCGAATTGTTGAACACTCTGGACATTCTGTGTCTGCTTCTATTATGTTGGTGCTTTGACAAATCATTGAATAGTGCCCGATCATCCAACCAACCCGTATATTAGAATGCCAACCAAAGCACACCTGACTAATATAAGTCATGGGCCATGTCAAAACCCCTTATTGTTTCTTGCATGCTAATCATCTTTGATGCTTATTTGTTTGACTCGTCCTAGGGCACATCTGTTATGTTCGAGGTTTCAGCATGTTTCAGTAGTGCAAGAAAATAAATTGGCAAAGTGAAAAATGTTTTTGAGTTACTAAAGATCCTTTCTTTTTCCACAATGAAGTGGTGGTCCTGAAGAGTTTACCAATTATTGTAGGAAATGATCCTCTTGCATTCTACTCCAATTATTTTATTAATGGCCCATAACTGTTACATATTTCTTGTTTTCATATTCTTATTGAAGGTGATGGTTCTATTCCTAATTGCGTCTCTGTTGAAGGATTTTGGTATATATACTTTAAGGCGTTAAGTATCCTAATATTTAATTATTATCGAATACGTTGGAGGTGTATCCGATATGTATCCTCGAGTATTTGAAGAGTACCGTATCCGATACGGTATCGGATACGGATACGCCGACCTCGATGAAGTATACGTGCTTCTTAGACTTTAACTTTTACTCTCGATGCAATTGTTTCTTCCTTAATCTTTAACTTCTTGCTTAACTACTTTCTCTGATTTATTTTTAAAGGGCCATGGACATTATGTTAATTCCCTGGTAGAATATGTTCTTCGGACTAGTGCTTTTGATCATATCGGTAAACAATATTCATCTCCTGATGAAATGAAGAGGTAATTGTTTTTTATCTTAACATCGGAGAAAACCTGTTATGAAGTTGTATGTTACCAAAATGGACAAATTCAAGTCTTCTTGCAAATCAAAAGTTTTTGCCATAATTTTTATGTTTTTTGAGGTGCATTTACTTCATATTTTTGCATTTTACTTTTCTTTTTTCTTTTCTGTACAAAAAACCCGCCTTCCTTTCACTGTTGAATCAGATTGCTTTGGAGCGATATAAAAAGATGAAGGGCAATGCCCCTGAAAGATTGGTTTTAGGGTCTGATGACTTCACGATGTTTCTTTGGGAACCTGCTTTCAGCAAACATCCCAAAACTCGAATGACAGGTCATCAATAGGTAAGAGTGTTTGTTAACGCAATTAAGGGCATGAAAATGATTTTACTAAGTGATTTTTCAATGAACAGTGTTTAACCTTTTGACAAAAATCAAGTGTGATACATACAATCTGTATCAGTTAGACAATTAGGTTTCACTTAAAAAATGCCAAAATTTTAAGTTGAAGGCACTCACTTATCAGTTAGTGCAGAACACCTCACTGAATATAAATTCTAAAACTTATCTCAAATTGGACTAAACTTCCAATTCTTTCTAATCTTTTAACAGTATCGGTTCCTCTCAACTTGTCTTTCTCTCCTGCATAGCTAAGGTGTCCATGGCCTGGGCAGGCCATCTAGCCCACCCAACCCAGCCTTGTAGATCTAGGGCCCAAGCTAGAGCATAGGCTTATGGGATTGGGGATTGGGCAATGGGCAGTAATTTTGCCCTGATCAAGTTCTTAATGAGTCTGGGCTAAGGTGAAAAAATGGCATGGCTTGACCCTACCCCGCCTTGCTTGATAATATTTTTATAGAGATATATTAGAATTTTGCATGTAAGCTGGAAGATTTTGTATTCTATTGCTACAATAGACAATCAAATCTAGACATTTGTAAAGAAAAAGAACATGTTACTTTTTTTTTGGTTTAATCATCAAAAGGAAAAGAATTTCGTTTCCATCAAGCTAAAGTTCTTAGGTAAAATGAAGTGTTATATGGTGGCCTAGTGCGCTTGGGTCTAAGCCATGACATGCATGCAAGGGTTGCGTTTGGGCTGGGCACATCTAGCCTTAGGATGGCTAGGTCGGGTTTGTGCTTAGGCCAGTATGAAGTGTGTAGGTTCCTCAGGTTATGTGGCTCAGGTTCACTCTAGCCCAGCCTATGGGGACCCATGATATGAAGAAAGTTAGAGCAAAACATGGCACAAGGTGATAATAGAAGTACTGTTTTTATGTGTATAGTTGGGTATTTGTGCTGAGATTTCTATGGTATAACTGTAACTATTTGCACTTGATTTTTCTTCCAAACTCACATTTGAGTCTAGATTTTATTGCTTTCTTGCAGCTTGTGAACCATGTTTACTTTTCACCCGATGGGCAATGGATAGCAAGTGCCTCATTTGACAAGTCAGTCAAGTTATGGAATGGTATCACTGGAAAATTTGTTGCTGCATTTCGGGATCATGTGGGACCTGTCTACCAGATAAGGTTTACTTTTTACCTCGTCAATATGTCCACAAACATCTGCAATAAAGTTAATTATCATGTTTCATGTTGCCATACAGCTGGTCTGCTGATAGTAGGCTACTTTTAAGTGGGAGCAAAGACTCTACTTTGAAGGTATGGTGTATTTTATGCGTTCTAGTTTTGTGGTTCCTTCGTTAGTGAATCGTGTTGGGTATAACCCATCCTCTAGAGATATTATAAGTATGATCAGTGGAGGTATTGGCCCAGTATTTGAGTCATTACAAAAATATAATTGCATGGAAATGCAAGTGATGTGTTTTTTGAAATCCCCGATCATCGGAAGTGAATTGAGCAAAATTTCACGTGTTGGCATTTGGATTTTGTGTATGTGGATTTATTTATTACATTATTTGGTTAACTAGTGTAAACCTCATTGGGAGATGTGGAGTTTTTAATAGGAGAGTAATGTTAGTGTTGTTAGAAGACTTATTCTATAATTACTGATGTAATCACTATAATTTTGATTAGAGTATGATCTCTAATTTTGTGTTTCTTGACATAATCATTGTGAGGTTTCGGTAATCCCGTTGTATTCTTTCTTTCATCTCTGCATCACTTTGATATTAGTCTATAAATATCCTTTGGTATGATTTTTTCTTTCACATGTAAAGTTAAGTAACTTGACATTAGTCTAATATTTTCCTGCAGAGATACTGGGTTTAGATGAAATTGTCACTTAACTGTTTAGTAAAAAATTATTTTGTTGAAAATACCTATTGTGGGTTAGTCTAAGTATTCTTTTATGCATCAAACCTCAACTTTGGAGCATCAATTCATAATTTCACTCTCGCTTTGATTTGTTCCTATTGAAGAACTTGTCCTTGATTACTAATCTGAAATTTCTTATGTTATGTAGGTTTGGGATATCAGGACGCAAAAGTTGAAACAAGACCTGCCCAGCCATGCAGATGAGGTATATTTGCCTTCAAAACACCGACAATCATTTTTCACATTAAGATGATAAATTTTCTTTTCAATTTTGGAAGTTTTTTGTTGTTGACTGGAGTCCAGATGGTGAGAAGGTAGCATCTGGTGGTAAGGATAGAGTTTTGAAGTTATGGATGGGATAAAGTACACTAGAGGCAAAAGTTGCTTAGAAATACATGATGGAGATTAATAGTTAAACTTCTGCAGCTTCCATCAGGAGCTAGCATTGTAGATATTGTAACATAGAGATAATTATTAGGAGCGTTGAAAAGGATAAATAACTCAGGGCTAAGGTGCACAGAGTGGTCAGTGGAGAAGGCTTTTTTAATGGCATTTTTGAAGCAACATGCTCATGTCACTTGGTGCTGCTCTTCCACAAATTTGGCCATCCTGCAAGTCACGTTTTTTGGATAGTCTTGTGGTTATCGACAAAAGCTACGGAATTTGCAATTTGTGGTGGCCGGAAGATTGAAGTATGACGAACAATTGTTGGCATATGTTTTGATAAGATTTTGGCGACGAGGGTACAACAGTGTGTGAAGTAAGGACATATAATAGTTCATTGTTCTGTCACCTGAAAGTTGTAACAAATTTATGTGGCAGTATGATGCATTGGCTCTATTTTGTATGGTGGAAATTTTGATAATATTTGTTAGGTGCATTTTGGTCATTAATGAACATGAATCTATAGATGCTATTAGTTTTGTTATGAATTTCCCAAAGTGTGGTACATATTTTTTACCATGCTCATTGTGTGTGAGTGTCATAGTGATTTTTATTTGTGAACATGTAATTACAGGTAATGACATTCTTGGGTCTTTGTATTATGCCCATCGAGGTTACCCTTCACCGTGTGTTTGTATTGTTTATGACAAAAAAAAGTACAAAAAAAAAAGTTTGTAGATTTGAGCTTGGGAATTTACTTTTTCAAAGCTTCTAATATTTACTTTAAAATCTTGTTATTGACATAAGTAGGGGTGTGTTTCGATTCCGACGGAGTTGGAGAGCACCGACTCTGATTGGAGTCGAAGGGGATTTTGCCCTTTGACTTTAATTTTAAATTATTATGGCTCTAACTTTGACTCTGTTTCATCGAAGGTAGAGTAGAGTTTTAGAGTTGAGTCGGATTTAGGCCAATTTTTATTGGATTATATATAATATATATATATATATATATATATATATATATATATATATATATTCATGCAAATTGAAATCAAGTATAATATGTTAATCTTTTTTGTCAATAGGTCTAGACGCAATCTTATTGGATCATTAAGAACACAAGATGTACTCTATTTGGTAAGTAGATCCATTGGATTCTTTTTCTTCTTTTTATTTCCTATTCTGACCATAAACTGAAAGACATATTTTGCTATTATAATTATCTAATTGTCCAGTTGAATATATCTTTTCCTCCATTTTTCATCCTATTATCTCTCTCTCTCTCACACATATATACACACACATGCGATCACAATAACAACCACACGATGTAAGTTAGGGAAAGAGATTTACGTGAGATTTTTTAGAATTTTGGTGGAATTTTTTAAGATCTGCGAGAGAGATTTAAATGAGAGATTTGCATGAGATTGTTTAGAATATGGATGAAGATTTTTAGCATTTGTCTTTATTTTAGGGTCCTTAATGTCTATTCTCACCCACTTGTCCTTAATGACCCAAAAAATATGCGTATTAACTAATTAACCTAAAATATCATAATTGTAGACCTGCCAAAAAAAATTCCCCCCTTTTTTTTTCCCTAACTTTTGGTTGGATTTGGACCAATTTTAAATGATATTTTGACCATTTTTTTTAACATTTGGACTAGTTTTTAAATTATATAATAGGAATTTAGGCCAAATTATAGATAGAAATTTTAAATTTTCATATAATAATATATTATATGATTTATAATTTATATAAAATTATTTATTAATTAAAATCGGAGTCTTGGAGTCAAAGTTTTTTCAAAAATAATTTCAGACTTTGACTCCGTTAAATTCCACCGTAGTTATAATCAGTGTCAAATTTTCTATTTTTTACACACCTTAGACAGGAGGTTTATATACTAGACTATATAACCAATAACGTCAAAAGAAACTGTATCAAACATCGAAAACGCACGCGTTATGTGCATCCAAAATAATACTTAAGTAATATAATAATTTTAAGTCTTATTGAAAGGTTATTTTTAATTAGTCTATTAAGTCCTGAGAAAAGAGAGGTGAAGCCAGAGAGATGGCTGGCTAAGATGTATAGTTAACTGTGTTTATGTAAGATAGATCATTGAGAAATCAGAATCTTGAGCTGGTTGAGTTAAGTGAGCAGTTAAGAAGAAAGCAAGACAACAAGTGGAAAGAAATACTCATCCTCACCCTTATGGACTCGAAAGGAACTGCCCAGAAAATTCAGGAACAAAAGGTGTTGGAGAAAGCTACATGCTGAAAATGATGAAACATTCTTAACTACATTTCTTTAGCTCATTTGTATGAACAACTAGTATTTGACATAATTATACGGACAACCCTTCATATATTAAAAATAAAACTAAGAATGCAATGAGAATACTCGTAACACCGCTTCTTCGACCAACAAACATTAGTATTAACAGGCTGACATCAACCAAATGATTCGAACATTGCGACGAATGCCTCTCCTAAGGTTAGACTTACATTATAAAAGACTAGGCCAAGGTACACAGTGTTGTCACAAACAGTCAAAATTTCCTGCTATTCGAGAAGAATGAAGCTGATATTTCCATGGTCTCAGACTTACAGAAGTTAGTGCCAGAGTGAATGAGTGAATCTTGATCTCTATTCCTGATCTACGACCACTCTGATGACTCAATTGAAACTATTGGCAGAATAGAGCCAGATATTATCAAATGAAATTACAGAAGCACAACATTTCTACTTTGGATAGGTCACGAAAGACAAAATGCTGGCTATGTATTTCATACAGCTAGTTATATAATACAACAGAAGGAGGCCTTTAATACTAGCAAATATGAAGTTTAAAACAAGAAAAATGAGGGACACACACAATTCATCTTTATTTGCTAAGCATCCAGTAAATACATATTTAGACACGGAGGAAGTTCTTCTCCTTCAAGCTCTCAACAGTATCCTTTAGGCTCACCTCGAAAGGAGTGAAGTTAATCCCTAGAGTTTTTGCTTTCTTATTCAATACTTGAAAGTTTGGCTGAGAAGTCTTTTTATCGTCATATCTGCAACAGATATAAGATGTATGTAACTGAGATCCGATGATGAATCTAAAACTGTTCTACGCCCCAAAGCATACTTTTGAATACTTTGGGCAAAATGTTATGCAATACTATTCAATCTTCAGTATTCATAATAATAACCCTCATTACGACTAATACTATTAGAATATCTGCTAAAAAAGCCATGTTTTTCTCATACAACTCAAATATATCACCTTAGACCAGATTGCAGAAACATGTTTAGACTATTATCTATTGAATGGCTGGCCAAAGTTAAGTTGGATCACTTCTCTGCATGTTTGGCTTCTGGTATAACTCTGTATCTTATAAAACCTCTGGCGATGTTAAAATTAAACGAGTCTCTATTTGCATAAGGCGGCATCTAATTATATGGTTGAGTAACATATTTAACCACTTGAGTTTTTAAAATGGGTTGGTGGAACTTTAAAACTTTTTTCTCATTTAATAAATAAAAAGTTAAATTGGATGAAACCGGTGAAATCAAATGCTAACTCCCATTTCTTATTGAATTAACTGATCAACTTGCTGTCAAAAATTTATTTTGAATTTGATAATCTCACAAAAGAAATCAATATATAGTTACCCTTAAAGCAAAACACACATGTAAACATACAAGTACCTTTACCTCCACCATATAAAAGTAAATCCAAACTGAAGGCCCATTATATCTAAAAGTTAAACTAAGTAGTTTTAATATATAGTTAAACAGCGCTGTTGTCGAACGTTAGGGTTTGAGAAAACACATAGAAATTATTTAAAGATGGACCTTCAGTTTGAAAATAATCTCGTGTTTGTAGGATGATTTCTCCCTACACTTACACGACTCATTTGTATCATAAAGATAAGAGGAAGCAAGCCTTCACTGAATATTCCGACATATTCCAGAAACAACAACTATTACAAAATGTCCAACCAATTCTTAATCTTCTGTATGAATTATGAGCTTCATTCTCATCACAATTCAACTACCATATTACTCTACAACATGGTATTGAATTATCAAAAAGAGCTGATTCACTGCAATTGGATGCTTCTACATCAAAATAAAATTCAGAAAGCTAAAACAGTAGACGCAGGGCGGCCTATTGAACTTCGATTATCAAATGTAATTTAATCAAATTTATTTTGGCCACGCACCAGTTTTTCGACAGTTATCAGATGCAAGTATCATGCTTATTTTCTTGATTTAGGAAATACAAAGTCCAATAAAAGAATACATCAGTGACAAATGCCAAGCCAAAGAACACACGATCTACATAATAATACATAAAGCAACCAACTAGCTTCTATTAAAGAGATACTAGAAGTGCACATGTATAAAGCATTTGTATTTGTATAAACCAATTAAAAACTTGGTCACATGAACCTCCATGCAAATTTATAGGGGGAAACCTTACTTTTCAGGAAGGGCAAGAGCAGGGTAGAGCCCACGCAAAATCTTCAGAGCTTCAGAGATGTGTGAAACTCTTTCAACTAATAAGTATCTCCCATTAGCTGAAGGATTTTCAAAACCTTGAATATGAGCATCAGCAACATCTCTAACATCCACCCAACTAAAAGTTGTGTCTGGAAATGTTTCAACCCCTACATCAAATAAACCCTCAACTGTTGACACCAAACAAAATCACCAGACAACAGTGTATTTTGAAAGAGGAATCTCAGTTGTTGGCCATTGTAGGCAATTAGAACTCATGAGGTAATATTCCTGTGATTAATCTATAAGAAATTATGATTGAAGGTATGTCCTGCTCTGTGATAGAACATGTAAACTTGGTCTTTAAATGGTCCAAGAGACCTCAATTCCTAGGCACAATGTTTCAAAATTTTCAAAAATGGTATTGATTTGCCCAAAAAAAAAAAAAAAAAGACTTTTCCTTGGATCACTTCCAATTACGG